CGGCAAACTCTGGTGTGAAGCGGCACATGAGAAAGAAGTCGCCGACCATGTTCTTGTTCCAGGTTGTCCACTCGCCGAGCGCGATGGTGTATAACCGAGTCACCGGGTCGAAGGATGTATCGCCGGCTTGGGCGCCGGACGCCGAGAGCTGGTAGCCTTCTGCGATGTCGGTGATCTCGGCTGGAACGGCGAATGTAAGGACGGAATCAGCGGCGACAGGTGACGGCATCGAGATCTGGATGTGGAGTTCCATCCATGCTGCAGGGTCAATAACGAAGGCCGTGTCCTCTTTCAGCCTCTGGAGCTTCAGGGAGGTGAAGGCGCCTTCGAGACCGGTGGGCGTGGCGGTGGCTGTGAGCGTCGTGGTTGTGCCTGGCACGGAAATAGGGGCAGTCGTTGTTGGGGCCGAAGTTGCGGTGGGCACAGCGGTAGTGGCGGTAGTCGCAGCAGCTGTTGACGATGGGAGGCTAGAGGTCCATGTGGCATTCTGGCCCGGGATAGGATCGCTTCCGAGTTGGATAGAGAACGGATCAGAAAGGAACAGCTGCCAGTCTTCAGGCTTGGCGGCATCGCCAAATATGCGCAGGGCACGGGTGAAGATGCGGTATCTTCCAGACGGGATGGCAGTACCGTTCGCAAAAGAGCGGAAAGTCACGTAGCTACCCAAGTTGAAGCGCACAATCTCTCTCATGGGGAAGTCCATGTAGCCTCCGTCGGCGAGGGGCTGGGATCTGACGGAGCCAAGCCACGCCTTCGAGCCTGAGCCGTGTTGCGGAGGATACGCGAATTGCTCCGTCTTCCAGTCAATACCGACCAAATCGACGGAGAACTCATAGGTGCCGTAGCGGAAGGCGAAGTAGGTCTCAGGCGAGTCACCGTCAGCGGGGTGGTATGCCTTGCCTTGATAGTCAAGTGGGTACAGGATGCCATCGGTATCGTCATAACGGTACGACTCTGGTTCGTGATGCAGAGCAGTCCAGTTATAGGTCGACGCCTCGATGCCAATGTACGGCACTGTCAGCAACTCGTTGTTGGAACCAGCGAGGAGAATCTTGCCACTCCACAGAGCGCCGCTATCAGGAGCGACGTCGGGAGCGGATAGGGTGATCTCGATCTCTTGAGTTTCACCTGCGGCAACTGTGATAGTCTTTCCCTCAGTCAAGGATCCAGCAGTGGGCACCAGAGGTGGGTAGTAGGTGTTAGGGTACAAGAGGCTGTTTCTGGATGAGACTGTCGAAGCGGCAATGTGAGAGATATTGTAAGTCACTTCCTCTGATCCGGTGTTCTGGATGCGGATAGTGTGAGCGCTGACACGGTTGTCCGTGTCGTTCAGGGATAGAGTCGGCTCGGAAAGAAGGACGGTAGTGAAGTCGAATAGCTTGGCTGCATCAACAAGACCCGCGCCCTGCTGAGCAAGGGACGCAACCTCGTCGAGAATCTTGCCGTCGATGGATTCGAACGCAGGCAGTGCCAGAGCAGTTGACGTGAGTCTGCGCACAAACTCTGCCCTGTCCTTCTTGGCATGCGCGTACCACAGAGCAGCAACACCCGAAATGTAGGGGGTAGCGAACGAGGTTCCGGAAGAGATGGCGAATTTGCCGTCGGGGAAAGCGCCGTAGACCACGCCACCGGGTGCGGAGATGATGGGGGAGAAGTCGTTCTCGTAGGTCGGACCCCACGATGTGAAGGTTGAGAGTTGGCCGGCGCTAGGAACCTCAGCGGCGAAAGCGGCTGGTTGAGCATCTGCCTGGATCTTCAAGTGAAGGGTATAGTTCTTGGCAATCTGCTCGGCCGCCCACTCCCCAACTGAAGCAGTGGTGACAGCCATGAGCTTAAGGGTGTCAGACCAAGCGACAACGTCAGCCATGTAGTACGCGCCCTGATTGTAAGAGTCATACAGGATTCCGTAGCCGTATCCGGCGCTGGCGATGGAGGAGTATGATCCAGCTGGCTCACAGACACCACGTTTTGCGAGAACAGCGGTAGAGTCGAGACCGGAGCCGGCGATGTTGCAGGAGTCGCCCTTGTCGAGAACAATGGGCACATCGATAGTGCTGTTGAACTTGTTGCCGTCAGAAGTGACATACGAGATGTTGAGAGATTGGCCGCCAGACGAGACAATCGTTGCAGGCCATCCCAAGGTCTGCGCTGCCTCAACGGAGCCGACAGAGACGACACCGCGGCCAGCAGCAGGGGAGCTGGCGAAATAAGGTCCCATCGCACCCGAGTTACCAGCAGCAATCACAATGAGTCTATCCTGGGCAATCTCACTGGCAACACGAGAAAGAACCGAGTTGACGTAGCCAGTGTTGCTGCCGATGGAAACGGAGATGATGTCGCAGTCATCCGAGTCAGCAGCGAGCATACCCTTGAGAACCATGTCGTTGGATGTCGCATCCTCGCAGCCGAAGACCTTGTACATGTAAATCTCCGAGTCGGGCGCGACTCCGGCAAAGTCCTGGTTAGAAGCGGCGATGATGGACGAGACAAAGGTTCCGTGACCAGCGCAGTCCGTGAGGGCGGTAGAATTCTCCTCGAAGAGGTTCTTTCCGCCGGCGATCTTGCCGACCAGAGCTGGGTGCGACACATCTACACCGCTGTCAACGACACAGACGCGCTGACCGGCGCCGGTGATGTTGCGATCGTGAAGCTCGCTGACGCGGGTCGCGACGTGAGGGTTCCATTTCTTCGTTCCCGTGGTTACTTCGAATGAGACGTCCAGGGTGATGGGCTGTACTGGCCAGGCATTGGCGACGCCCGGCAGGCTCTTGATGTCGTCGACGACACCGGACGAATCGTCGTTTGCAATCTCGACGGAGACGCCCCTGAAGCGACCCGAGATGGCGGAGAAGTCCTCCTTGACGGTGGCCTCGTAGCCGAGGGATGAGATCTGGCCGACAATGGAGTCGCCGACAGAAGAGTCCTGGCGGGTGCTGGGGCCGGTCGAGTCTTGGAGCTCGACGATGTAACGGCCGGAAGCAGCGTCGGAAGCCGGGGCTGTGAGGCGGGTGCGGCCGCTGGCGAAGCCACCCTCGGCTGCCGTGACCGGTGAGACGGCAGCGGCTGCGACAAGAGCCGCTTGGAGGATTCCGGAAACGCGAGCCATTGTAGTGAGCTCGACTAAGATCGGCAAGTTGACAATCGATCTCAGAATCTCACGAGAGACAAGCAGTCGGGAGCTGTTGCTTAAGCCCCTCTTCAAGATCAAGGCCCCCCAAGGGCCCATCTCCTTCTATTTATCCAGTTCAGCATCTTACACGATCTCGCAATACAGGATGGAACTTTGAAGTAGCGACAGGGTTCCACGATACGAGCTGGAACCGCACCCATCAGATCCAAGATCATAATGATCAACCAAATTGCCTATTAATTACAGTTTTATGGGCCAGTCAACCGATAACCGGAACGCAACGGCAAAAGTTCAGGGTCGTAAAGACGGATGTAACTCCGAGGACTTGGCAGGAACCGTGTTTCCCTTGACTTCTGCCCGTATTCCCGAAAGCGGCAGGTCGTTGAAAAAGACTCACTTGGTAGAAGGACGGGGGTGCGAAGTTTATCAGCTCATCTAATCAATCTTTGTGGAGCTGGGCATGCAGGCACCATACATTGCAGCCATTGCTAAGGGCTTTGTGAGATGGAAACTTTCGTGTTGTCTGTACTTTGCGGTGGGATGGGTGGGAGGCCGTGGAGATTTGCCTTGATTCGCTTAGCCCTGTGGTAAAATAAGCTCAACTCGGAGAGCCGATGTTACCATGGTTGGTCACTATCGGTGATGCTCCGAGCTCCGAGGGTGGGCTTTGGGTGAGGAGTCGGAGGTGAATAAAGGGTCCAGACTCCGGGCTTCGTGGGATCACTTCTTCAGGTGAGGATTATTCATACATCTTGGCTCATATTTCGAATTGCGGGACTCGGGAGTGGGCGGGGTTATGCTGCCTTACATGAGTCTCATCGAATGGCGGAGTGGAGGCTGAGATTCAACGCCGAGCACCCAGAGATCATTGAAGTCAAGCTCAGAGAAGCCCTCCATCGTTCAAATACTACACGAAGGCTTTGAGAAGAGAGATCTGGCCAGAAGATGGTAAGCTGACAAGAGCTCAGAGGGAATCAAGGAATGTTCGATGGGGTCAGTGATATTACATGATCAACTCAATCCACACTTCATCTTGAAGCCTTCAGATCATGAAGCTCGTGGTGACCTTACGCTCAATTGAAGTTTCATCTCAATTGATGTAAACAACGTAAAACTCAGGTAATCACCTGGCTTCCATTCAAGATGAGGAGCGCAGAGGGGCACGGGGGAAACCAGGATTTGGGGAATCAGCTCGTTTGAACAGCGTCGTTTTATTTGAATCTCTCGTGCCAATGAAGTGATTATCATCTTTTTCTTCTGCCTGTCGTCGAGTCTTTCTCAGCTTCTCGTCAACTCGGGTCACTGAGAAAGTGAAATGTCTGGAAGAAGCCGGTTGCATGAGACCAGATGGGGATATTGTACTTGGCACAGTTTTCTTATATGAATATGAGCTCTCACATACTTCCGTAGTATTTGACGGTCTGGTGATGAATCTTACACATGAACAATATTCAGTGATGGTGAATGAGGTGGTTCGCCATCTTTAATCAGAGTGAGAGTGAGAGGGAGGGGTGATCTGATCCACATAGTATACCAACTTTCTGACACCGTGCTTTGGGAGACAGTTGCACTCAACATACAGTGCCAATCGGCTGGCAAAGGGCGGCAGTCAGATCAGGCAACCAGACTAAGAGCTGTGCCGCACCCGCCTGCCGCCGCCCCTTCTTGGAGGCCGCTTGCCTCCCTCTCACCCGTCCGCCATCTCATTGCTCTCTGAGCTCTCTCTTTCTGCCTTATAACAATCTCCAAAGTCGAATGTCCACGAATTGACTTTCGTCGAGACCATCCTTCGCGGTCCGTTCACAATAACCACTGGCTTGGCGTCCGGTGTAAGTCAACCGTAGTCGACACCACCAAGTCATCTCTCACCATGCCTCTTCCTCGAGAGGCATTCAACCTGCCACCGCCAAAAAGGATCCGACGGCAGTCGCCTACCCACCAAGGAGCTTTGTTCGCTGCAGGCGTCCCGCCATCAGATGCTGACAACTTTGCCTCGATTCTGCCCTACTGGGCGCCTGCCGAGGACTCTTCCTTCGAGGGCGTGTACCATGAACCTTCCATCTACGGCGAGAACGCCTGGTCCCAGAGCCATGGAGTGAATGAGGTAGAACAGCGGCTCGGGAAGCCTTTGCCCATCGGTGATCCATTTGCTTTCAATAGCTTTCAGCCTGCCTCATCACTTGCGCAGGCGTCTCCTGCCCCGGCATTGAGCACAGTGTCCAGTATTACATACTCTTCCTCTTCCGTTGTCTCCCAGCCTTCATCTGCTGGCTCTGGTGTATCGCCCACACAGATTGACTTTCCGTATGAATGGCCGACTACAAAGACTGCCTCGACAAACCATTCCACGACTCGGCGTGCCGCTGAAAGGTCTACTGATTCTACCGCCTCTACCGCCAGAGCTCAAAGCCGTTTTATTTGCTTGGGCCACCAATGTGACGAAACCTTTGACCAAGAACAAGACTTGGCCTTGCATTTCAAGGCGGTCCACACTTACACCTGCAACTGGGGAGGCTGCGAACAACCCAGCTTTTCTTCAAAGGACGGCCTCACTTGGCACGTCAAACTGGAGCACCTCCTCGTCTGCCCAGCCCCTGGATGCACCGAGAGCTCGTTCCAGACCAAACAGATCCTCGAGAGTCATTTAAGATGTGCTCATCCAGCTGCCGAGGGCAATGACAAGGGGAAACCGAAGGTGCCACTTTCGGAGCCGAAGCCTCTCGCCCATACCATGGCTACGCCATCCTCGTCTCGCGATACAGGACCGAACCAGAAAGACAGCCTGGAAGAACGAGCTTTGAAACAGATACTGTCCGTCGCGATATCAAAAAAGAAGTGTCGAGAAAAGCTGAGGGATGTTTTTGAGAGGAGGTATAGAAGAGAAAGAGCACACAAAGGTGGCTGATCCTAGCTCCAACTCACGAGGCCGGTATTCTGACATTGGCAGGGCAAACTCCTCTCGCAGCCGACAGCCCAAGCGACTTGTCCCGGTCTCTTTTGGCACAGTTACTCAACAACGCGAGTTTTCCTATAGTGTGGGAGCATGCAATTCTACCATTTCTCTCCGAGTTCATCCCAAAATGGTGTGGCCCCAAGCACGGCATCGCCGCCCCTCGTGGTAGGACACCGGGCACGCGGCAAATCCGCATCATGATCGAAGGCGATTTACCCTCGCGAGCTCGCAAGGTTATTATTGCAGCACACGTTAGAGACCTTCTACCCGAGAGTCATCGAGACGGCGTCAAGTTCCTCTTCGTCAAGGGCTCCATTGTCCCTTGTGTCTGGGCGAGAGGGTTGAGCAAGGAGATGCCAGATGATATCTGCATGGCCAAGAACCCATACTACTTCAAAGATCCGTGCATGGGCGACAGCATTGGTATCGAAGGCGGTGCAAAGTTCGAGGAAAGCACGTCAACATTGGGGCCCTGTCTGCTCATCGGTGGCGGCAGCTACTGGCTTGCCAACTTCCACCCCTTCGTGGAAGCATACCAGAACTCAAAGTCGGTCAACGTTCAACACCCATCCCCCAATGACCGGACCCGTTGCATAGAAGAAAGGCACGATACGCTGCCTGAGACAGACTTTGCTCTAGGTAGCCTTACCGCCACATCAGGACTCGACCTGAAGACGACTCGCATTTCCCATCATCCCTACTGGGAAGACTGCGACAAGGAGCCCCCTCTTGTCGCGACTGATTGGGCTCTCATAGCCTCCAAGACAAGTCAAGCGAATATCCTCCGCCGATTCCCCTCGGAGACCATGCCTCTTCTCAAGGAGATCCCAGTCAAAACAACAAGCGCTGTTGTGCCGGGGGCGTCAGTGATATCGACGGGTCGAACATCTGGCCAGCAAAGGGGGGAGGTTTGTGACATCCCAGAGTACATCAGCGCCGAGATGAACGGGACTGGCAGAGCCACGCGCGAGTGGTATATTGAAGAGCCGTGCCCCTACGACGATGAAGAAGGGTGGATCCGTGGAGGCATAGGCGTGGAGGGCGACAGCGGCGCTGCCATTGTCGACGCTGAGACTAATGCCTTGGTCGGCCAGCTTTGGGGCCGCAACAAATACTGGGGTAGTGGCCCTCGCCTGACGTATTTCACCCCCATCGGCGATCTATTTGACGATATTCAGGAGAAATGTGGCGAGCAAGGTCGACCTCAGCTCCCGCAGTACCGGGATGAATCGGAATGTTATCCAGTCTACCCCACTTGTCGACAATGCTACGATCTACGAACCTACCTCGACAGCCGACGGAGTTCTCGCGAGTCACTCCAATCCATGATCGGACGCCACGAAAGCGATCACGGAGACTTAACCTCGATCTGTGGAACATCAGAGCTGGCGACACCGAAGGACCATGCATTCTGGGCGCGGGCCACTGGCGTCGAGGAAGTCGGTTCCTCATTCACCAGCATCATGTCACCTTCCGCCGCTCACCCATTCTCCTTCACGCCACAACCTGGGACCCCAGGTATCGTAGATATCAAAAGCCCGTACGCCCTGACCCTGAGCGCAGAGGATCTCTACGGAGACGACTTCACGGGGACAACAGAGCGCGGCTCCAGCAAGCGAGCAGCCGCAGTTCCGTTGGCACGAAGTTCAAGTCATAATACCAAGAGGCAAAGGTTGCATTAATTATGCTATTCCGAGGCCGAGTGAGATATCCGACATCAGCCAGGGAATCCACCTCTCGCCATCTTCTTTGCTCTTTGATCGCGGCGATTGTGGTTTGCCCGAGAGCTCTTGCTGGCTTCCTTTCTCCTCCGCGCGGCCTCGGTCTCCTTTTCACCAGTAGGACCGGCCACATTACCGCCTCCGCGGCCCCCGCCCCCTCTTCCACCACGTCCGCGACCTCCTCGTCCACGGCCGCCTCCGCCACCACGTGAGGAGCTGCCACCACCATTTTCAGAGTCCTCGGCGCCAGAGCCAGCCGGACTGGCTCGCCATGCCGTTGACAGAATCTCAGTCTGGGTACCAGTAAATGCAGCGGAGCCGCTGTACTTGGCCTCGAGCCGTCGCTTTTGACCCGGGTTCCTCGCCAACATCACTGCCCAGCCCTCAATGGCCTCATCCGTCATGCCCGTCTCCTCCCTCAACTTTCCTCTCGCCTGACCTCTCCTCGTCGAAGCCTGTCTGTCAAATACACTGGGGTCGGCTTGGAAGGCCTTGTACAGTGTTTCTTCACTAGCATCCTTTTGGCCGTCGGCCTCCTCATTGGCGTTGTCGACCGTGCCCCCAACATCGTCTGCGTCGTAGGTATCGTCACGTTCGTCATCATCCGAGTCGAATGCGGCGAGTGCTGATAAAATGGCTGCCTTGTTCGGTGCAGTGGATCTGTCCTTAAGCACATCGTCGGCGGTCTTTTCAGGCCCTTTCTTTCCAAAGTGGAGCTTGGAAACGTCCAACTCCAGTCTGTCGAGTTCATCGTCGTCAAACACATTGTGGCGTTCAGGTAATTGCGGTGGCGTTGGTCTGGGTTCAAGCTGGCTTTTCCTTCTTTCCAAGGTGGGGGATCTGTGACATCGTTAGCCTTACCATATTCAAGTAAAGAAACAGAGGAAACATACAACGGAGCAGAGCGGTCCATCGCCGCGAGGTGCGGAGGCAACGAGTCCTCTAGTAAATGAGCCGTAACAATCTCCGTATTATCGCCGTATTCGTCAAACAGCTTCGAGATGAACCCTGACCCCAGATCCGGAAACAGATCTTGAATGAGTGAAATCTGGCTCTGCCGGTGCATGTGCAACTCCGCCTGAACCTGTCCCTCTTCCGCGGCATCTTTCCCTTTGCCCTTGTCAACCTTCCTCTTCACGAGTCTCTTTGGCCGCATCATTCCGCCGCCGGGCTTCTTGAACCCCTCCAGCGCCGAAATACGTGACTTCAACGCCGTTGAAGCCGCGCCCTTCTCCTCGGCCCTCTTGGACAGCTGTTTCAGCACCGGCGTGACGGTGACCAGCTCCGCCACGAGGGAGTCATTCACGTTCAACGGGCCGACCCTGTGCGTCTCGGCAGCGGACTTTAAGGAGAACAACACGTCAGCCAGCATGCCGAAGCGGGGCTGCTCGCCCTCCGTCAGGCCGATGAGGCAGAGGTACATCGTCGCGACGAGGACCTTGCGCAGCGGCGGGTTCGTGATCTTGAAGGCCGTGACCAGGCCGTCAAAGAAGTCTGAGCCGGCGAGGAAGAAGGCTGCTGAGTGCGGGGAGGCGTGGATTAAGTGGTTCAGGTTCGCGAGGCGAGCCTCGAGGGATTTGAGGTCTGCTTTGAGACCTGCTTCCATTGATTGCGCGAGCGACTTCTTCAGGCCTGCTAGGGGGTGCTCGAGGACGCTGGCGTGCAGGGTAAAGGCTTTTGAGAGGGTGAGGGGTGCATTTTTGCGGTAGAGCTTTGAAAAGGCGCAGAGGAAGGGGGCTGTTGTTAGGGGTGTTGGCGGTGGTGTTGTCGGGTTTGTGAGGAGGCGGGATGTGAGTGTGAATGCCGACCTGAGTAGGGCTTTTGATGTCGTAGAGGAAGAGGATCCTAGGATGGGTAAGGGTCCTACTTCGGCGACTTGTGTTGTGAAGGAGGAGAGAAAGACTGGGATGGAGGCGTCTTCTTTTGCGGCGGCGCGGGAGAGGTCTTTATCTGAGAGGGAGAGGTAGACTTGTGTGAGCGTTGTCCAGGCTTCGAGAAGGGCTTCCCATTCTTGGGGTGTAAGTTTTGCGCGCCACGATGGCGTGGGGAAGGGGGCCAGGGGCGGGAGAGAGGTTGCCATGGTTGCTGGAGCTCTAGGGTTCGTGAAGTGGTGAGTGAGATCCTATGTGAGATGAGCGCTGGAACTGGCGGGGTAAGATGTTCTCAGAAATGAGAGGGATTCTATCGCGGGATGCAAGAATAGCAGAATGCTCTTAGGAAGAGCTCAACGTCGGGTCGTGATTGCGCATCCGGGGAGTTTTTGCAACGCGTTTTGAGGTGGCGATGAGGTGAAGTGAGGCGGCTGACCGTGAGATGTCGTTCTCTCAGATCTCGCCGGATGATTCATTCATTGACGTCGGTGCCTCTCCCCAGCCGGGCCATGCAGTGAGCTTTCGGCGGAGCTGCGAATGCGGAAGTGGGTACCTCCATGGTGGGGTTCGTTCTTTCTCTACGCCTGTTTGCTTCTTGCCGCCGCAAATGGTCGACTTCAAAAGTACGTATCTTTTTTTCGACCTCCCACTTTTGCGCTAAACTTACCTAGGCTTAGTCACACCACTCGGTAAAGCCCTACTTTCCAAACCCCACGAAAAAAAGTTCGCGATCGCAATTCCCTCCGACTGCAAGCTCCTTGATAGCCAGAAAGATCATCAGCCTTCATCACTTTGCCGCAACCAAGCCGTTCGAGTCGTGAAGGAATCAATCTCTCCCTAACCTACCACCCAACTCCCACCCGTTCACCGAACAACAACACTTCAAAATGTCTTACAACAAGGACAAGGACTTCGGCGAGGCGCCCAAGACGCACAAGATCCGCATCACCCTCTCCTCCCGCAAGGTCCAGTCCCTCGAGAAGGTCAGCGCCGAGCTCATTGAGCGCGCCAAGTCAAAGGACCTCCGCGTCTCCGGCCCCGTCCGCCTGCCCACCAAGACCCTCAAGGTCACCACCCGCAAGACCCCTTGCGGTGAGGGTTCCAAGACCTGGGATTGCTTCGAGATGCGCATCCACAAGCGTCTCATTGAGTGAGTTTTCCCTCTTGCCGCCCTCCGTCGGCATGCGTTGCGCGACCTGCGAGTAGTCGAGATTTGAACAAAAGTGCTAACGACGAAAACCTAGCCTCAACGCCCCCACCGAGATCGTCAAGCAGATCATCATCAACATCGAGGCCGGTGTCGAGGTCGAGGTCACCATTGCCGCATAAGCGATTGGAAACCAAGCTCCGAAACAAAAAAATGTTGTAAAGACGAGTTGTTGTTGTTGTAGGCGGGACGAAACGGTATGGGCTTCGGACTTGGGAATGCCGCGTTGCTAAGCCAGCGACGAGGGATGGCTGAAAGGTTTTCCTCTCAACGCAGCTACGCAATGGTGGCGGGACGAGTGAGGCGGTCTAGATACCACCCAAATCAACTGATGACCCCCCATCTTAAGTTCCTCTCCTGGGATGTGTCGTATGAATATGCATGAAGCCCAGTTGAATTACTTACTGTGATCTTGGCCATAGTGGCTGTGAAGTCAAGGGCAATGGGTACAAAGGATTGCGAGAGTCAGGATGTTGAGGAAGATACTCAATGTTTGGGAACTTGTGCCCAACTAGAGTGCAGTATGAGCACCATAATATCACATGCTCAGCCAGATGCCCCAACCCCCGGTCACCAACTGATCCTTTTTGAAATCAACGCCGTGCAATGCCAGCCCCCTTTACACAAGTACAGATAGACCACTTTCGGTCCTTGCATCCTCTCTCCTGTTCCCGCCCACACCCTTTACAGATCCCAAAGACAAGACTCTCTCTTAGGAGGCAACTCGGGCATAAGACCCTCAAACTTGCCAGTCTGCGTAAACGACTGCCACTGCTGCTTCGACTTGTCATCATACGACTCGTCGGGTAGTTCAGTATCCTTGTAGTAGTTTGGCGGACCATCCGGAAACCATATCCTCGTCCACGCGCCGTTGAAAGCCCGGATGCCGGGCAAATTGCCCTGGTAGGTGACGGGCTTACCCTTCCAATTGGATAAGCGCCCGTTCATATCCTTGGAGCTGTAGCTCGACACGGGTGGATGCTGCCTCGAGCTCCCCGGTGGATACGGTCCGCTCCCAGGCGCCGCCGCTTGTTGCGCGGCGGGCGCAGCTGGTGCAGCGGTCTGACCTCCGAATGGGTTTGGCGCTGATCCGCCCACTCCGAGGCCACCGGACGGCTGGCCGAACGGAGACGCATTGTTCTGTCCAAAGGGGTTCGTTTTCTGGCCAAGTTGAGCCGGCTGGCCGAACCCGCTGGCAGGCTGCGTAGACTGTGTTGGCTGAGCAGTCGCTGCCGGCTGGCCGAAGGCGCTGGGCTGCGCATCGGGTTTCGCACCAAAGGGGTTGCTCGCCGCCGGTTGCGCCTGAGACGGCTGACCGAAGGGATTGGAAGATGCAATCTGGGCCGGTTGTCCGAATGCACTTGTCGTCGCAGGCTGTGCTGGCTGACCAAACGGACTTGGATTCGCCTGGGCTGGAGCCCCGAAAGGGTTGGCATTTTGTGTCGTATTCTGCGCGGGCTGCCCAAAGGGGTTGGAACTGGCCGTATTCTGCGAAGCCTGACCAAATGGACTCGATGCATTGTTGCTGCCAGCGCTGGCAAATGGGCTGGCACCGCTCGTCGCGCCTCCAAAGGGGTTCGGCTTTTGTCCAAGGGCACTTGCTTGGCCAAACGCGCTGCCGCCTCCGCCAAGTTGAGATGGTTGGCCGAAGGCACTGCCCCCTGATGCCGCTGCTGGTTGTGCCGGCTGCCCGAACGCAGGCGCGCCGAAGGGATTAGGCTTCTGACCCAGGGCTGAGGCCTGGCCAAAGGCCGAAGTGCCACCTCCCAGCGCGCTGGGTTGTCCAAAGGCGGATGTAGGTTGCGATGTTTGCCCAAAGGCCGGGGCGGAGCTACTCGCGGCACCGAACGCCGACGTAGGTTGTGATGGTTGACCGAATGCTGAAGTTGGTTGCGATGGCTGCGATGTTTGACCAAAAGCTGGCGCGCCAAAGGGATTCGTACGTTGCCCCAGGGTCGCAGTCTGGCCAAAGGCGCTCCCTGTTGAAGCTCCACCGCCGCCACCAAAGGCAGAAGTCGTGTTGGTATTATTAGAGGAGAATGGGTTTGACGTCGCTGCGTTCGAATTTGACGAGAAAGGGTTCTGCTGTGAAGAAGCGGCGCCCCGTCTTCCAACCGCAAACTCCCCTGTGGTCCCGCCTGGCGATGTGCCTTGCTTGCAAATATCTATCCTGTTGGGGTGCGTTTGCTCGGCAGAAATGATGAATTGGATAGCGCCGTCAAGGTTGCCCACTGCCGTCTTCATTTGTTGCTGGGCTTGCTGGTATAGCTCTTGTGCTTGATTGAGCTTGGGGGTCCGTCAGCTAATGGACCTATAGATCTAGGTAAGGTGGCTTACCGCTTGCTGAGGATTGCCAGACGCTTCCGCCATCATGTGTACGAGTCTCATTTCCTCAAAACTCTGCTCGCGCAAGTTGCCTCCGAAGAGCTGTTCCGGAGCATCCCTGCCGGGGCCATAAGCGGACAAAATCCATTGTGGCGCTTCCGATGTCAAATCCTTCTCAATGGTCTCCTTTGATAGCGAATAAGGTAGCCCTGGTTCCATGTTAGTAAAATGTGTCGTTCTAAACTCCTAGGAGCCGCAATTGTTGGACGAACCATCGTTATTGTTGCCGCCTCGATTGAATCCTCCTCCTGTGTTTTGGCCAAAGGCTGCGAAGCGGTTGTTATTTTGCGACCGTGGATGCTCGAATCGGCAATTCTCTGCGATATCACATATTAGCCTCTTCGGTCCGAGTTTGCGATTGAGACTCCTCGAGGGGATAATGATGGGTGCACAGCGAGTGACGTACGTCCGTACCTGCAGTTCCCCTGCTCGTAGAACTTGCAGACTACCATTCTGATTGTCGTTCGGGCGGTTTCGCAATGCAAATGGTGTGATGACAGCGACTATGTCATTTCGTAGGTGCCGGGAGCTCGAGATTAGCCAGAAATTCGACGGTGGACAAAGGACCAAGCTCTTGTAGTCTCCAAAGAGCTCGAAGATTGGGCGTCGAGAAAGAAATCGTTGACAGCCTTTCTCAGCCTTGCCGGCGCGTGGCTCTAGCGCGCTGTGGTGAGCCAATGGGAAATAGGTACTGTGCGTAAGCAGTGTGCGAAGCGCAAGCACTGTCCTCGCGCCCTCTGGCCCAAACAGGTGCACTTACACCACAAGCATTCTGCATTATTTCTTGACTTTCTCACCAATCGTTCGAATTCACCTAATTTTCTGAACCAAGATGGCTCAGATTTCTGTACTTGGGTTTTCATCATCTACGGGAGTCTTCTCAGCCTTCGAGTTTGACCATTATGTCCCATCGAAAATCGATTCGGCCAATCCTAGCAATTCAGAGCCAAGAATATATATTACTTAGCTTTCGCAAGTACGGTGTTTTACCAGTTTGTCGACGCCACAGTTTTCTTTCTACGAGTCACATATTCAAAAGCAAATTAAGAACCGAAATCGTGGTTTCATCACTCCAAATCAGTTATAGCTACTTCATGGAATCCATCTATCCAATCACACCGGCAACCATGGGCTTCAGCTGCTGCTCAACATAGTTGGGGTTCCTCCACTCAGACCAGTCCGCGTTCAACAGACCCCACGACTCCTCAAAGTTCTGCGTTCCCTGGCGGATGTAGTAGCTACCAACAAGAACCCAGATGAAGAAGCTGCCCTGGATCTGGGGCAAGTACGATGCCAGGCATGTCGAGTAGGTGTTGAGGTATGTGTTGTCGTTCATGTTGAAGCCAAACTCGGTCAGCGCCACGGGGAAGACATTGACTGTCACAGGGTCCGATGCATTCATGGCCTGGAAGCCCTTGGTGTACAGGTTGTTGCTCAAGCTCACACAGCTACCGATAGAGCCCTCGTAGTTGTGGATCTCGAGAACAAGCTTGTCGGCGTAGCCCTCGAAGTCAGAGAGCTGGAACGTGCCGTTACCGGGCGTCAATGCCGTGCCACGGAAGACGGGTGCCACAGTCGTGTCGTAGTTGAGACCCGAGAGGAAGATAAGAAGGCCAGGATTGGCGCCGTTGATGGCGTTGGTGCCGTCCTGGATGTACTTGTACCAATCCTGCCAGTTGTACGAAGCAGCCACCAGCTCGGCGTTATCTGTGGCCTCGCGAAGCTCGTTGCGGAGAGACATGGCGACAAGGGCAGTCCATGATTTTCCCTGGCAATGGTTATCAGCTTGAGTTCAACAGTATTCTGCCTCGTTTCGATTCACTTACATGATTGGCCATGTAGGTCAAGCCGCGCACCCACTTGGCGGCATCGAACTCGCGGTCTCCCCACCAAGTGTTGCCGTCGTTTCCAGAGCAGCACCACTTGCCGGTGGACATGTGGTTATCGAGGAGGATGTAGACTTCCTGCTTGGCACACTCGGCAGCAATGGCATCGTACACCTTTACGGTCCTGTGTTAGCGGGTGTCAAACGCCGCGAAAGAGCTGATAACTTACCTCGAGACGGGTGGTCGCCTCCGTGAAAGAAGGGTTGTTGGCCAGGACCTGAGCGAGGACGGCAGTACCGTTGGTCTCACCGAGACCGTTGATGAAGGCGGTCTTGATGTCAATGTCCTTGCCATCGTTGGCGTAGATCTGGTCGACGAGCTCAATGGCGTAGGTCAGACGGATGGCGTTCATGCCAATGCTCTTGATCTTGGACACGACGCCCTCGACAGAGAGGAACTGCAGGCCTTCCGGGACCATGACCTCGCCATGGCCGGGCCAGTTGGTGCCAGCGAACTGGATGTGGTTGCCAGCGGCATCTACCGCCCAGCGACCGTCCGTCACAAGCGGGCCATTGGGCCAGCTGGTCTGTCTGGCCTGGGGAAGAGCGGCGCAAAGAGGCGCGACGCAGCTGGCGACGGCCAGGAGGGAGGTGAAGAACTTCATAGTGTCGGGTAGTTTTGGCTGAGAAACCGACGCGTCTGAGATGGGAGCTATCACTACAGAGAAGGTCGCAATGGCATCATCTTGCGGGAACCATTGGGATCTTATACGACCCAAAAGTTCACAGAGCATGCAGCTCGGAGGCATTCCCGCTCCAATCCAGCACTCGCCGTTGCTACCTCATCCCACGGACCGAGAGCGGGACCTGCAGCCAGACCAGGAACACGACACTGACATCACGAGCATTGGCGGCAGTAGCTAAGCCTTGGGAGGGTGCAACGTTCCTTGAATCAACGGTCGCCATTGTCATGACTAGTCTTGGACCGCCTCCCCCAGCCCGCAGCGGGGCATCTCTCGGGTGCTCCCTCAGGTCATGATACCAAGTTGCTAGGGTAGCGACGAACCTCGGGGGCGGCTTTCGCCCGAGGAGACGAGCACAGCCGGGACTGACATACTGTCGGGGATCGAAGCCAAGGGTCCAAGTTTTACCACTGAGTGGACGCAAGGGAGTCAGGCGATATTGTCGCCAGGAACAGCAAGGTTGTGCCGGACGGCGTGAGATCGGCTCCCGCCTCTTCTCGAGACAACCAGAAGTCTGGAGAGAGAGAGTCTTGCGTCCCGCCCCCGCATCGCTTGTCGAATATGCCGATGGGGAAAACGACGGATCCCGGCTCCCCAACTCTGATTCTCTTAGTGCTGGTATTCCCCACACTCCGACCCTCCCTCTCTTCGTCGAACCGTTCAACGGCCCAAGCATCCCCAAATAGGCCGGTTCTGCGCGATCACAAGATACTAGTCTGGGTGGTTGACGTTGCATGGAAGTGGAGAAGAGAGCTTTCACTACGACCCGGCTCCGTGATCCCCGGGAGCCGAACGAAACAAAGTCTGAAAAGATACGAAAGAAAGTAGACAATAGCGGAGACGACATGCTTGACAGGGAAATGCCCGCTGCCGATCAAGAGCCGGACCACAAAGACTAAATTTGGCAGTTGGGGAATCAGACAAGCGGGGAGAGCTTTCGAACGATCTGAATGGCGCGCAAGTTCGGACGGACGAGTTCTCGCGAGGAGCTCTCACCAGCCTTTGGGTCCACCGCTGTACCTTGGAACGAGGAGATAGATTCTCTGCCATTATTGGTTCTCATCATGCAGGAGAATCAATTGACACGTGCTACTAAATTCTCTCGACGCTCGATGACGACAACTTCACAAACTCGCAGCTTCAAAGGTGAAGCAGTGGGGATTGTCTGACCCCAGCTTCAACCAAGCCATCCTCGGTAGAAACAACAATGTCGACCTCTCCGGCCTCGCTCTCACGCCCTCGCCCTGAACTCCAATAATGGCCCATCCTTCATACTCGTAAACGTGTCGTACAACTGCATCTCCGAGACCCGCCTCCGGCCCTCATCCAAATCTGCGCGTCCCTCGGCCGGGTCAAGTACGCCCACCGCCTTGCGCACGTCGTACAAGAACAACGTCCTCGCCAATGCGGTCGACATCTCAGCATACGCGAGCCCCTTGCCAATACACCCTCTGGCTCCAATCGAGAATGGACAAAACGCGCTCTGCGCCCTCGCCGTGTCGGCCTCGGTCGTCTCTCTGCCCCCAAACAACGGGTTCGCCGCGCCGACGATCCATCGCTCGGGAACGTAGTCATACGCTGAGGGGAAGTAGTCCTCGTTGTGATGGATCGTGTAGTGCGGTGTGCCGACGACGGTTCCTGCCGGAATATGCGCGCCGTCGATTGTCATGCCGCCTGCGAGAACCTCGCGTGGGAGGAGGCCGCCGACGGAGGGGGACAAACGCATCGCCTCGTCGATGCAGGCACGGAGGTAGGTGCATGTGTTGATTGTCGCGCCGTGACGGATCTCCTCGACTTCGGAGAACTTGCTGCGAATCTCGGCGGTTGCGCGCTGGAGCGCCGCGGGGTTGCGAGAGAGGTAAAAGAGGGTTGCTGCCATGGCTGTCGACGTGGTGTCGGCGCCGGCGATGATACTGATTTGCGTGTTAGTTTTGGCTTTCATCTCCGTGGTGCCTCGAAGCCGGATGGGGAATATGGACTTACAGCAGGTTTGACTCGCCCCAGAGCTCCGGCGTCGAGAAGCCCAATCCCGTCTCCGGGTCGCGCGCCTTCAGGAGGTAGTAGAAGAAGTCGCGTCGGTCCGTATCTTCACCGAGCTTCGTCCGCTCCGTCAACTGCGCCTTGCTATAGGCCATGTACCGCGCCCGTCCGGCCGCAATAGTCGGGAAAAGAAGTTTATCGAGCTTGAGCTTGTCTACGATGGGCATGGTACCACACTGTCGTCCGTCAGTTCATGTTCCTCTCACACAAGTCTATCGGCCTTGTCTACTCACCAAAAGATGCCTTTTGGTCGCCGCGGCGATTAAGTCCAATGCGAACCGGTTATCCGGCGCCTCGAGCATATGAAACGCTTTCCCAAACGACAAGTCTCCCAAGATATCCATGGCGAGGTAGTTACACCAGTCCGTCATATTCTTGGGCGTCGACCACCCCTTTGTCTCGTCAGACGCGCCCCGGCCAATCTCGGCGGTAAAGGAGCGCACGTTGCCGATGATGTAGCGCTCCATCTCCTTCATGGCCGAGTCGGAGAAGCCGTGGGCGAGGACGCGGCGCTTGCGGGCGTGGACGTCCTTGTCGCGGGCGTTGTGGGTATTGGGCGCAGGGTGGACAAAGGCGTTGTAGAACTCTGCCTTGCCGACGTTGGAGCGGAAGCCGTAAATTTCCTTGAGTGCCGTTGCGGAGTTGAAGGAGACTGAGTTGGGGCCGAAGCGGACGATTTTGCCTTGAGGGTGTTAGTTGTGCTGTCTCTGCTGCTCTCTCCCGATTCCTCTCTCCTTCTCAGCCTCTTCTGCCCTCTCTGCCAATGCCTCCTCGCCATTCTCAATATGTTTGAGGGATGGATTGCAATAGTGCTGAAGACGAGTAAGTGACGTACCATATTGCTTGTGAAGCTTGTAAAAGTCGAGATGTCTATCGCCATTCCAGGCGTGATAGAGCTGGTATCCGTCCGTGACCTTTGCGATGAGCGGTCCCGGGTACTTTGCTAGAGGATGGAAGAAGATGCGGTACACGACGATACCGGCGACCTATATCGTTGACTGTCAGATCAGATCCCTTCATGTCCTTGCTAGGCGCAGATGGGGGCTTCGCAGAGCCGCTTCTTGGCGTGAATGATAACCATTGATGAGGAACTTACATAGAGCACGCCTCCCACGGCGGCGAGGCCTAGCCAGGCCCATAGATGACTCGTCTCCATATTCACTGTTTCTTTCCCTCTTATCTTCAATGGTACGGTGATGCCAAGAAGGTGCCGTCTCTCTTGCTTAGTTTTCAGTGAGTCTCACGCAGCAGTGAAACTCCTCCAAACTCGATGATATCGTTCGATATGGTAGTAAGTCAAACACCAAGTTCGGTTCTTTTCCCAGTGAATTCTTTCCAGCAGTCAGACCTTTTCTTCACATCAATCTCACCTCACGTCTCATCCGTAGCTCCCGGCGAGAAGGAGGGGTGCACCTCTCTTCTTATTTGTCTTACACATTCCCCAACCCTTTCCCGGCCTGCTGCCCATCGGCTTTCCACGGTCCAAGACGGGAATGGATGAGATGACGGCGCTGGCGGGTGTGCGCTGTTACCCCACGCCGCAAGGACCGGGCGGGCACTGTCTACAGAATTGGAGAAATGACGATAGGCGGGACGAGTACGAAGCACTGTGGATGTGCCAAAATATCAGGTGTAACAAGTGACACAGTCCCCATGCGCAACACGTCTTACCTGCCCTAATGTAATGTGCCTGACATTGATTACTACCAGTACCTACCTATGTGCGCCTGTAAAAAAAGAGGCGGGCAAAGGCGCAGGTCCGTCTTATCACGCTTGCGCCCGCCCAACCTTCCTGTTTCGGGTGGTCTTTGAAAGCGGGAGTTGGAACGCTGCGGCTACTCGCGGGGACACACAGAGAGAGGGAGGTTGAGAACGGACGCGGACTTGGATGTGTTAGTGACGCCGCAATACCTGCTTACCCCAGACTTTGCGTTCCCGTTTCTTTTCCCGGCTCGTTCAGCCCGTAGATAGCCATCCTGCTATGGGTTCAATACGCAGTAGGTCCATACTACCCCAAGATCTCGCATCTGCTATTACCCACCCGGCAAGCTTCCCCCGCCCCAATCCACGACCGCCAGACGCCAGATGCGTGGATGGCGTCCTCCATTAAGTCCAGTACCCCGGCAGCTAGGTTTCGCAAGTGTGCATGTGAGCCAACCGGAGACGAGGCGATTACACATTCCATGCGCGGTGAGTAAGGGTTACCCTCATTGCTCAGAGTGCCTACGTTCTGCTCTTGTCTCTTTGCCGAGTCCTAGTACGCTCTTGCTCTTTTCCGTCCTTCTCTTTCCCGACAATGTCTTACACCTTTCCCGAGTGTTCCTTTCCCGATGCCCGTTTTCTTTCCCGAGGATTTGGAGAAATTGGAGACTCTGGACGAATAATTGGTGAGAGACTGCCAAACGGAATCGGCTTTCGGCGCTCTCCCCCGCTTTACATCGTCACCGTTGCGGATCCTGCGGAGAAGACGGGGGAGAAGGTGAACCTGGATGACGGGGGAGGAATTCCGCTCCAGGTCCGCGGTTCCGTGAACTCGTTTGGCGACGGCTTGAGGGCTTCAGGGTTTTGAGACGGGCTGAGTTGTTGTGCGTTCGTTTATGGAGGTGGAAGAGGGTTTGGTTGTGTTATTGACTGGCTACACAATAGTCAGAGATACCCGCCTGTACACAGAGACACATACAACAAGCCTAAGACTTCTCGCCAAACTTGAGCAGGTGAATAGCAATGCAATCCTATAAATACCTTGTACTTCCATAGCAGTTCGCTTTGGAGCCACCACAGCAACGTTTGATGTTCTGTCCGAGTTTTCCACGCAAGCGTTGAGCATGGCATTTAGGTCGTTGTCTCGGTGTTGAAGCTTGGCGTTTTTTCACTTTGACGACCTGCAATTTAGACAATTTATACCCAAGCTACGGCTCTTCCCATCAACTAGCTCCTGTCTGAACATATTCTAAACGTAACAAACCAACAAAAGGTGAAAACTAAAAGCACCTCTGGCTCATGCGGAAGACCCCTGCTTGATACCTCAACTTCAGCCTCTCTCAAGTGACTGTACTAAATAGCCTTGCTACGATGTCTTCGGTGGCCCAACGCTTTACATAACAGTGATGGGTTTGCGTTGTGAAAATAGCGGCGGCAAGACGGGGGATTGTTTTATAATCCGCTTGCTCGTGTACTGCGCAATAGGAATCATGGGCACTCGCAGCCCAAGGTCCTTTTGTATCATGGCGGAAGTCCGTCGAGGTCGCACCCCTGGGAAGCTAAACACCTACAGCTTCCCAGATACAGAATGGAAATAACCGACTCGATGCGCAACATATTTGACCCTGTCCATCCCTTTGACAAATTAAGTGGATGTAATACTTACTACAGAGGCTTCGTATTAGCGGCCAAGGTCTCTTGCAACACACTATCCATGTTAAGACGGCGATGGGACTCAATGAGCCCATAGGTAAGCAGAACCGCGATGGTGAGATGACTTAGTATAAGGTGGACCGAAATCTAGAACATGCGTTTCTTGGGGACAGCATTTGGGTGGGTGATTGGTTGGATAGGCTCATCGTACTCGCGGTGTGCGTTCCCCAGATCCAAAAGTGTGGTGCCGAATTACCTCGTACAGTGATGCTTTGGGATCAAAGGTCTGTCTGTGTGTGCATAAAGAAAGATTACTACTCTTCGCACTTGTCGGAGTGGTATCGAATGAATACATCAACAACGACGCCTGGAAGGTCGAAAGGACGGTATCAAGGTTGTAGGAAGGTTGAACGAAGTATCGTTTGGAACAATTAAGATATTCTTAACGATGCTGATCGGGCAAAACCCAGGCTTGATGGAAGAGCTCGAGAGATGTCATGATCCAGTCATCGACAGCGATGCGAAGGAATGGAAGGATGAAACGAGTGTGATGGTTAGGTATATAAGCAAGATAGGAAAGTGCCTAAGCAGCCACTCTCAAGCCAAACACACAAACATTCAGAGGCTCATTGAATAGGTTCTCGCATTGTATTAAGTATATACGCCCCCAACCTCCGCCACCAACATAAGAAAACATTCAACATTACAACCCTTCATCCAATCCCAACCCCATAAACTTCGTTTTCGTTTCCATAAATCAATGATTGTAGTACCTCGGCTCGTTAAAGACGTGGTACCGGTGATCCCGCACGCCCTGGCCGCGGAACATGGCCGGGAACCGCCAGCCCTGCGGCACCTCCTCCTCCGTGACGCGCTTATTCCGCGTGTTGTCGTCCACCGCCTCGATCTGCAGCGCCTCGTCCTTGGACTGCGGGATGACGAACTTGGCCACCTGCAGCTCCGTGTCGGTGATGGTGCTGCGGCTGACGCGCGCGTAGCCAGTGCGCTTGAGGCCCTTGTAGAGGATGTACTCGCACCAGCGGTCCCAGTCGGTCGGGTCGACGTCGTGCATGCCGGATGTGCTGCTGACGTAGGTGTTGTAGTTGCCTTGCAGGGGCTTGGTGACGAGGTAGGACAGCAGGACGGAGGGGTTCTTTGATTCGCCCATGAGCTTGGAGAGGTACTCGGTCTGCAGGCGGCGGTCTTCGGGGTCCTCTTCCTGTCCGGAGTGGAACACGAAGACATCGACCTCTTGGCCGTAGACGTCGAGGGTGGCGGCGATGGCGGGCGCGAGCTCGCCCACGGGACTGGGGAGCAGGTGGTGCACTGACTTGAGAATCGGGAATTTGGAGAGCAGCGCGGAGCCCCAGGTGTGCTTGTTGGGGCCTGGGCCGTAGTCGACGTACATTCCAAGGTCCTCGGCAAGGAACTGCGTGGTATCGCGGTTGCCCATGATGATGCGCTGCAGGTCGGACTCGAGGAGACCTACCACATCCAGCTCGAGCTCCTTGATGAGGTCGCGCATGCGGTACTCGGAAGACCACATGTCGTTGTCGAGGGAGAAGTGGATGGTCCAGATACCGGCCGTCATGATGCGGTCTTCAGGGTGGTACGGCTTGTAGTCGTTGGTAGGGAAGCGCATGAAGGCGGCGGCCAGGAAGACGATGTTGATAAAGGCGGCTGCGATCGTGTTGTACTTCTTGTGCTGCGACGGGGATGCACGGCGGGTATCGCGGCGACGGGCCTGCGAGGAGGTGAGGTCGAAGACACCGGCGCCGATGAGGATGAATGTTGTCATCATGACCCAATCAGTGTGCTCGCGAACAAGGGGTCCACCAGGGACAAATGCGTAGGCGACGACCCAGACGTGGAACAGCACCATGAAGTTGTAGATGAAGAACCCAAGACCAAATGTCGTGCCAGGGCTTCTCTTGGCGGCGGTCGAGAGGAATGGCACAGACAGGCCCATCAGGTAGAAGGCAGTGGTGAGAGCACCATAGTAACCGAACCAGTGGTGGTACGAGGTCAAGACGGCCGCGCCAACGCAGCCAACGCCGTAGGCAGTCCATGAGCTCATCACAGAGGGACGGTAGAGGCCAACCAAGAGACCAGCAGTCATTGCGACAATAGTCATCCAGCCGTAGGTGTTGGCAGTAGGTCCCCGGATCGGATAGCCGTCCCAAACCCAGAGGATCATGGTGCTAGTATCGGAGAGCAGGGAGTGAATGCCGAAGAACAGGCCGCCAACGCCAAAGGCAGCAAGGACCGAGGAACCGCCCTTCTTGGAGTCTTCCGGGATATCGCCGCTAGTCAGGGGTGCCCTCCGAGTGAATCGCAGAGCAGCTACAACAGCAATGGCGAAGCCAGTCGCGTTCCAGCCTCCGTTGGCAGCGTGCATAACAGGCCAAAGTGGGTTGTTGGTCCACCACATGAACTTGGCTGTAGACGAGGCGACGAGGCCAAGAGTCCAAGCCATGATTCTCGATTCGAGACGGCTCTGGTGGGCTCTGTCGGACCAGAAAGAAGCAGTCCAGCCAAGGCAAGACGTGGCCACGGCGAAGCCAACGGTAAAGAGACGGTAGGCAGGATCAAGAACCTGGTACGCCAGCAGGCCGACTAGCGAGATGAGGTGGATAGCGCGCTGATTGTTGACGACGAGGGAGCGAACACTGCGAATGCCCAAGATTGCGGGCAAGATGGTTGACATGACAAAGGCCTCGTAGCCCGAGATGCCCATGTGCCAGAGTGGGAAGTACCACACCAAGACTCCCAAGCTAGTCAACATGGACCAGAAGATGAAGCCGTGGTAGACATCGGCGGCGGTGTCGAGAGCCTCGGTCCAGGTGAATCGGCCGGTCAAGAGGTTTGCGCTCGCCTTTTCCTTCCTTGAGTCAAGTCAGCTGCTGCACCTCTGATCACGATATTCCACGAAACTTACTGCTTCTCAAGCACGGCAGACGGAACGGATGACCGGTTCTCACTATAGCAAGACTTAGATTGTACTCTTCAAATGGATCTATTTTTGTGCCTGGTGTACAATATGTACAAGACTATTTCGGAAGCCATTGGACGTACCCCTTGCTTGCTCCCTTGACATCCTTGATCACCACTTCGAACGTGTTGAAGTCGAGAGCCGTCACGGCGTCAAAGGCGACGTCGAAGAGGATGAGGGCCCATTCGAAGAAGGCGTAGATCGTGTAAGCTGTGCGCGGTTAGCTACTACGCTCGTGCGCAAACCCTCCGAGGCCGAAAAGCTTACCTCCCGCAACGCGGTGGACCTTGTGCTGGATGAAGAAGTAAATCAAGGGCACCAGGGTACCGAAGAAGGAGCTGGCAATCAACTTGCGGTACTTGATGGCCTGGGGATTCGGCGGGCTCAGCATGACGCATCCAATTGTCCACGGGAGGGATGCGACAATGTAGGAGATCATGAAGATGTCGTGCCAGTCGTGGTCGTCCGTCGAGGTTACGTAGGTGAAGCCGCCGCACATGCATGTGCGCAAAATGCCCATCGCCAGGGTGAACTTTGGCAGTGTCTGTCCGGGTCTCCTCGTCAAGAGGTACCATAGTCCGACGAGTGCGAATCGCGGGCCCGAGGTGATTGCGATGAAGAACATGAAGAAGGACCGCTCGGGGTATCGGTCGCCAATTGTCGCGGAAACGGAGGGGAACCACTCGTCGGGGTATCCGTACCACTCATTTTGGACAATCTTGTGGTAATGCAGCGAAACGCCTACGATGAATGCGCTGATGAAGGCAGCTATCGTGGAAAGTCAGCTTTGGAAGCTTTCCGGACGGTCGTACGACCGCAAGAACTGCCCCGCGACAGCATCGCGGCCAGCAGCGGCAACAACTCCGGGCGCAAAGAGACTTACTGTAAGCTGTAGCAGTATGCAGGTAGCTGATCCACTGGCCATTGAAGACCAGCGCGACGCCGCCGTCCTTGTCTTTATACCTTGACGCCATCGCTAACCTCTACTTGCTCTGAACCGCTCTTTCGGTGGAAGGAATCTCTTTCTCTCTCTCAGCTCGAACGACAAAAACAAAGAGAAAAGAAGCTCATCCGGGGGATCCGGGGAGGCAATGACACGAGCTGACGAGGGGGGGGAAGAACTTAGAAGGATGAATGGAGGGGGAGGGCCGAGAGAAGGGCGGAAATAAGAAAGAATTGTGCCTGGCAATTGCACAACTAATTAACCAGCATGCCTCGGCGGCCCGCGGATGGGGAATCGATTGGATCGAAGGGAATCGCGTGGTTGGGTGTCCGGCTCTTTTGCAACAGTGCGGCCCCTGACCGTGGAGTCTTTGGAGAAGAAGTTGCAAGGTTTCCGTGACGGTACGGAGTCTTTTCTGGTAAGGTTGTTGAACGTAAACAGTCCAAAATGTTTGGCGCCGACAGGGAAGATGACAGAAGCGGCACCCGTGGGACACGCGACCGGGAGACGACGGAGCTTTGAGCTTGCCGCTGATGGAGCGATGCTGACGCTGAGGCCTGCAATACCTTGGTGTACGGGCACAACAAGGTGCCTGGCCTGACTCTGCTGGGGCAGCTACCTAGGCATCTACTACGTAGGTAGGCGGGCTGCTGATGCACGCAAGGGCAAGCTCTTTGGGGTTAAAGCTACTTGATTAAGGTACCTCAAAGTGTCGGGGGTTAGTCCCAATTGGGACCGGGCGCGACAGGGGGAGCTTGGCACAAGGCTGAAGTCCGTGACGTCCGTCTCTTCAGACTCTTTTCCCCAGCCACAGTCCCACGGACCACTCAAAGCCCACTCTCGGTCAGGGTAGCCACACCTTGCCAGATGCCCCGCTTTAAAGTTTTGATCTTCTTTCTCAGCCTTGTCAACTTTTTTCCTAGACTGGTTTTTCCCTCTTCTTGATCTGCAGCGTCAGGCAGAGTATCTGTGCAGCACATCTCGGCCAGGCGACTCGAATCCCGTGCTTCGATACCAAACATCTGCAATCATGTCGGTCGCTGAAAAGGCCCGCTTCTACTTGGAGCGTTCCGTTCCTCAATTGCGCGAGTGGGAGGAAAAGGAAATCTTCACAAAGGTACGCCACCACCCAACCTAGAACCCCTCCTCAACCACAAGTCGCCCCCATCATCCTCACTACTGGTTTCCCTAACGATCACCATAGGATGAGATCCGTACAATCGTGCAGAAGCGCAGCGACTATGAGCACCGCATCCTCGCCCCCCGCTCCAACCCCGATGACTTCATCGCCTACGCAAAATGGGAGCAGTCCCTCGAGTCCCTCCGCCAGAAACGCTGCAAGCGGATGAAAATTGGCCACGTCACGTCCCAGCACACCACCCAGTCGCGCGTCCTCGCCATCTTCGACCGCGCCGTCAGCAGACACCCCGGTAGAAAGGACCTGTGGCTCGAGTACCTCAAATACACCGCCGACGTCAAGGCCACCAAGCGCTGGCGCCGGACCATGGCCAGCGCCCTCCGCATGATGCCTACCGACGCCGACCTGTGGATCTTTGCAGGCCGGCGCTCGGCGTCCAATGGTGACATGGGCGGCGCGCGAGGCTACTTTATGCGCGGGTGCCGCTTCTGCACGAGCGAGGGCACGCTGTGGATCGAGTACGCGCGGTGCGAGATGGAGTGGCTGGCCAAGATGCAGGCCAAGAAGGGCAGCAGTAAGAAGAAGGCGGAGCAGGAGAACCCGCTGGCCGGCGAGAAGATGGACGACGATGACGAGATCAAGCTCATTGACGAGGACGATGAGGAAGACGAGGACGAGGATGTTCTGAGCCTCCCCGTGCCCGGCAAGGAGAAGAAGGCCATTAACGAGGAGGAGAGCAAGGCGCTCAAGCACAACCCGGCCCTGGACGGCGCCATACCGATGGCCATTTTCGACATTTCGAGAAAACAGCCCTTTTACAACCCCGAGGTGGCCGAGCGCTTCTTTGACATGTTTGCCTCCTTTGCAAAGGTCTCGTCCGCGTCCAAGATTCTCCAGCACGTTGTCGACGTCATGCGAGAGCAGGACGCCACGCACCCGGCGACGTGGAACTGCTACATCCGCCTGCCCCTCGTCGGCGTCAGCCCCGATACGCCCGAGTTCCCTCTTGGCCTCCGCGAGGTTCTGTCGCGTCTGGGCAAGGGATTGGACGAGACGTCCGACAAGGCTGCGCTGGAGAGCAAGTCGCTGGTGTGGATCGAGCTGGTGCTCCTCTTCAAGGGTCTCGACGAGGGTATCAAGACCGTTTTGGAGCACATGAGGGATCAGTTGCAGTCATAGCCCTGCCGTTAGGCTGTGGGTATATGTTTGTTGACTATAGATGGATGTTGGTACAAAAAAAAGAATGTGGAAGAAATAAGTATGGGTATTGAAAAGTGTTTTCGGCGCAACACATTGGGAATTAGAAGCGGCCCCCCGGCGGGATGTATCCAGTATCCCGAATTCTTGATACCACTTGCAGAGTCAGTCAGCCTAATCAAACGAGGTCAAAAAAAGGCAACCTTCTTCTTGCTCCCGCCCCCACTATGCTGCAGAATAGTTGGGGAACTTCTTTGACTCTTCCACAGTCTTATCCCACTCCTTGTCCTCATCGAGCTCCTTGGCCATGCGAATGACTTCATCCCACTCCTCAGGGGTGACTTTGTTGACGCTAAGGCGAGCCTGCTTCAGCAGCTCCATGTTCTGCAGTGGGCCGTTACCGCGCGACTCCTTGAGCAGGCTCAACGGCACGATCCGCGGGAACTTATGCTCGATTTTGACGTGGACGAGACTCCATTTGCTCCCGTCGTGCGGGGCGCTGTCGTCGTAGTACGGGTTGTCATTGATGCAGGCGTTCCCTCACAGCCATGTTAGTCAAATAGACTTATGGGTACGGATGGGCTAGAAGGGATGAGAACACACAGTCGGGCGAGTGCTCCTTGGCTATACTCATGATACCAACCACACCAGGCTCTTTACAATTCGAGTGGTAGAAGAAGGCCTTGTCGCCCTTTCGCATCCCCCGCAGGTTGTTCCGCGCGACGTAGTTCCGAATACCTGCACTCTTCGTCAATCGCTTGCTTCACACTTACACAGAAAGTCCAGGGTGATGAACGTACCCTCCCAGCCCTCGGGCGTCTTTTTGGCAGCCAAATCATCGATGGAAAACTTGATCTCATACCCATCCTCGATGCGAACATCCGGCTCAGACTTCATGAGCCAGTACCGCTGGCCAGGCGGATCGCGTGGCTCCGCCTCGGAGTTGACGTCCGGAACAGGCGCATCGCGCAGGGCCTTGAGTTCGTCCTTTGTCTTCTTTGGCGGCGCTTCCTTCTTTCCTGCTGCCGGCTTCTATTCATGCATAAGTATTTGTAAATGAGACCCAGAATCAAGAACGGAACAGCTCATTGTGATAGCCGGTGGGTAATTTCATTCAGCTTACCTTGGCTTTCTTGGCGGGCTTCGGCTTCGGTTCGTCCTCGTCCTCGACAGCCTCGGCTCTGTTCTCCTCTTCCTTCACAGTTGGTGCCGCTGCTTTTCTCTTTTGACCTGCAGTGGCCTTGGGAGAAGGAGGAGATTGTGGAACTGGCTTCTTGGTCTTCTTTTCTGTCTTGGTGGTGGGCTTGGGTTTCGCTGGCGATGGCTTCTTCTCATCTGCTGGCGGCGCGGCCTTGTCCCGGCGCGTCGATGACCTCAGACTGCGGGTGACGGCCGGCATTGTGAGAGCAGCAACACGAGACTGAAAAGTAAGTTGAGTATGTACGATTGGCGAATCAAATAAGCAGAAGGGCAAGAAACAACTAGGTCTGTAAGTGAAGGTCGTGTGGCTTGTGATGAGTGCCAGTCGATGGAGCAAGCTCACTCCGGAGACGCGCAGCTGTGGTGGGTTCACTCAGGAGCACAGGGTGTGTGCAGCAGGTGGGACCAAAACCGTTGGACGCATGGACCTCTCATTGATCACGTAATCGCGGCCTTGACAAACGTCCCGTGGTGACCGGTCACATTTTCATTTTCGTCATTCGCTTAGACCTAGACGGACATGGGAGTTGCAAAATCTCCTCAGCAACCCACTCCAACAAGGTATCCGTACTTAACTTTAAGTTGGGTCAATCGAGATCACCTAGTTGTTCATTGCATTGCATAAGTGTTGACTCACTGCTCGTCATTATGAAATTGCGGGTTGAAGCGCATGTTTGGAAGACGCAAGGACTAAGATGGATTGACAGGATCACGACCTACCTTGTTCCAATCGCCACCAAAAGTATTTGAAGACCACAACTGCTTCTTGCAACTTGTCCATGTGATATTCTGAGCCTTTGAGAACTGCCGGATAGAGCAGTGAAATGCTCACATCTATGGTCTTGTCATGGGGCTCAATCCACTCTCATTCTTGCGTCTTTTCGATGTTTACCATGTTCAAAAAAGGGCGTAGGGAGCACCAGACTGACCCACCCAGCTGAGTCTCGAGAACCCCTCGCCAACATCCCCAATGTCACCAACTTCGCCCAACATCAAACGCCGTAACATAGCTGAACTCCCCAGTAAACCCACAAGATGTTAAAAGCATCAGAAACAGCGCTTGCCGCAATCGGCAAAACACCCCTCGTCCGTCTCCGCCGAGTCGTCCCCGCACACCACGCAGATGTCTACCTTAAACTCGAATACACCAACCCAACAGGCTCCCACAAAGACCGCATGGCCGCAGCCATCATCCAAGAGGCCGAGAAGAGAGGTGCCCTCAAGCCGGGGATGAAGGTCGTCGAGGCCACAGGCGGCAGCACGGGGTCTTCGCTCGCCTTCGTTTGCGCAGTCAAGGGTTACAAGTTCCAGCCGGCTAGCTCCAATGCTTTTGCGGTGGAGAAGCTCAAGACCATGGCGGCGTTTGGGGCCAAGGTTGATATTGTTCATAGTCCGACGGGACGGATTACTGCTGAATTGATTCCTTCTATGATTCGGCGGGCAAAGGAGGTTGAGGGGCACGGGAATGTGTATTCTACGGATCAGTTCAATAATCGGGATGCGTTGGTCGGATACGCAGCCCTGGGCCATGAGATCATTGAGCAAGTTCCGGAGGGCGTTGACGCATTTTGCGCTGCTGTCGGGACGGCCGGGTTAGCGATGGGTGTCTCGGCAGTCTTGAAGGCAGCTCGATCAGAGACGCGCGTGGTCGTACTGGAGCCCGCGTCAACGCCCGTCATCACAGGAGGTCAAGCTGGTCCTCATGGTGTCGAGGGAATTGGTATCGGCTTTCTCCCTCCTCTCTTGGATAAGAAGCTCTATGACGAGGCGCGGGCCGTCTCGGAGGATGAAGCGCGTGCCATGTGTCGACGTCTAGCTAGAGACGAAGGCATTTTTGCGGGCGTGTCCACGGGTTTGAATGTGGTTGCTGCGATTCGTTTGGCGGCGGAGATGGGAGCTGGGAAGAAGGTAGTCACCATCGCATGCGACTCGGGTTTGAAGTACTTGAATGGGGACCTGTTCTCTACTCCGCAGTAGACCATTTATTAGCCCGCACATAGGGCACTTGGGGTTTTCTCGGGGTGAAGACTGGGTGGTCGGAATCGTTTACTACAATTCAAAGGCGTTGGCAGTGTCACCCAGGATAAGTTCAGGGGTCCACCAACTTGGTAGGGTGGAACACACATCGATGATAGAGCTTATCAATTTAGTGATGATCAGTGTCATGGAGTAGAAGTAGGAAACAAAATGGAATTTTCGTTGTTGAATACGGAGCTAGCTAGAATGAAGAAAGCCTTCTGGGAGGCGAAAGAAATGGAATTTTCCCCTATTTCAATATTGGCTTTAAGAAAGCCTCACCAACTTCCGCCATCCATGCCAAAGGACATCTCGAAGAAGTTTGAACCCTGGCTAGAGGCACGCGACACCATTTCAAGTCATTTACTCCTGGAAAACGACAAAACGGACAATGTAGCCCTGGACAACACTGGTGGTGCGAGCAGCAGGACCGACAAGACCGTTGTAGGTGGTGGTGGTAACGTTGATGAGCTGGGGGTTCTGGCCCTCCTCGGTGGGGAGCTTGGCCCAGCGGAAAGTGTAGGAGATGACGCCGTTGTGGACGGTGGCGTTGACGAGTCTCAGGAACTCCTCGTTGAAGCTGGGCACAACGGAGATCTTCAAGTCGCCCTCGTCCTTCTGGACAACGGCAGTGATGGTGGCCTCGTGATCGGCGGCAAGGGCGAGGTGGATGGGAGACACGACGCTGCCGATGGCGGTATTGTCGTGCTTGGTGAAGTCTACGCCGGTGGTGGGGACGACGCCCTCGAGTCCGGTGTACTTGATCTCAATCTCCTTGGTGCCGTCGGCGGTGTCGACGAAGACGGTCTTGTTGTTGAAATGAGAGGCGGGGAGGATGACGGGGAACTTTGTGGTGACGTCCTGGATATCGCGGACTCCCTTGGGCAGCAGACCGCCGAAGAATCCCTGCAGGGCGAACTTGAGGCCACCGGCGAAACCCTCGACACGAACGAACTTGGGGCCGAGGACGATGGCGGGGACCTCGGCCGAGAGGACGAGCTGGCGGGTCTTGCTGTCGTAGAGAGCAGCGAGCTTTGAGGCGGAAAGGAGGTGAGCCATCTTGAAATTTGTGTTTGGTAGTGAGATGGGAAAAGAAAGTTTGAAGTGGATGGTTGAGGCTTAGAGAGATGATAGCGGAAAGTAAAGAAGCTGATTGTAGTGATGAGGAGAAGCAAACATTTTCACAGGAAACATCTTTAGTCTTTATACAACAGACTTTGAAATCTAGAAGCAACTGGACTCTTACTTGTTCAGCCAACGTTGTTCAGCTCCTTCTGAACTTGGATTGGAGCATCACGCAAAACCCGCAAACATGCCAATACAGACCACCATCAATTTCGCGGCTGAGAAGTAACATCTCCTTTGGCATCGCGAATGACAGTTGACCTAACCAGAAAAGGCAAAATGCATGTCATGACGGAACTCTAGAATTCGTGTTTCCTTCCGCTACTGAGATCAACTGTACGCCCCTGAGAAACGTAGTCCAGACTGAAATTCACATGAAAGAGACGTTAATGGCTGCATGGCGCATGCGTAGACCTTGGAATATCTCGTCTGAAGGGCTTCGGCCTTGAAACAAATCGGTCTACTTGGTCAAAGTGTTAAAGCCTATAGCGTGTAGCCTATAACCAATGTCACATTTGCGTTGAACATTCACAATTTGTTCAGCTCTTCTCTACAATGAATCTCGGACCTCGAAGGCCACAGCGATCTCTGGTAGAAACGTTCTGCTGGCATCGACCTGACCTGGGCGATGACATGGTTTACAGTATTGTTTGACGATCACGACCATTCTGCTCGCACCATACACAACCCTGGAATTATGTGGCTGGCTCAGAGCTTGCAAAGGGAATCATACGTCGTTCAGCAGCCAATAATCACCAGGCATGGCTTGACAACAAGCACGATGTTCAAGCACTGGGCAGGACTGCCAGAGCATTCCACCACGGACTATCAATAATTACTGACTTGCGGCCCGAGAAGTCATATCGCCGGAGGGTGGGCGGTGGCGTTTCGAAAACAACCGCAACCCACGAGTCGAACGGCCAGGCGCCTCGTCTATGGCACGACATTCCTTCAATTGTCGCCATCGGCCATCCTCTCTCCCATCCCCCGCGCCAAGGGGCGGGTTACTAAGGCGGCCCGCCTTCAGCTGCCGCCCCTAGCGTGTAAGTTCCATAACCGCGAGTGGCACCGTTCAGTCGAGAACATTTCGAAGACTCCTGAAATTGGCATAGTCTGTGTCATAGCATGTGGCCATGTGCGCCGCCGGCGGAATGGGGAAGGGTGCTCCCGCAGCAGCCCGCTGGCATGGTCCAGAATGAACGCCGCACGCGGAATATCAGGGCTTGAGACATTTGCGACTGGCGCAATTCAGCCGCAAAATTCGCTCTCAGCCACGCGAGGTTGCGAAAACCTCATGATTGTGAGACCTGATTTTGAAACGGGAATAAGCTGCTCTTGTTGACAGCGGCTAGTTGAGGATGTGAGGGGACGGCTTCACACATGGCCACGTCTTGATGCTTGACCTTTGGTCACATCGAGTGTCGGTGGCCAGCCCCTCGACTGGCTTTGTTAATAGGGGGAGGCCAAGGGCAGTATCTCTTTCTCACACCTGATTGTGTCTATGGCAACCACACTTCCTCCGGTCAAAGATTTCCGTGATGATTCTCTGCAGATATTGGTCCCAATTCCGAAGTTCATAATGCGATCATGTCATGTAGGTGTCAAGTTGCGTGTGCTGCAATGTATTGAGGGAATCTAACCTGCATACAGTTCCATTTGCAAAATAGATCATAGAGGGCCTAAAAATGCTTATCGAATGGAGATACTCGAAAAACTTTACCAGGGTATCTAGCTCGCATCAGCAACATCGATACTAACAATATTGGACATACGATCGGCTAGGAATTAGGATTAGGATAGGCCTACATGTAGTATCATCGGTTTGAAGGATATCTATCTTAGAATGAGATACATGGTCGATCTCTATGGGCATAGCATCGTTCCTATCAGTGCTATAAATATTCTGCCTCGATACCTATGGCTATTTTACAGGTACTCACATTCACCTCCACCACCGACATCATACCATCCACATCCAACACTCAAAACTACTGTGATCTCCGTTCCCATTCCTGCCATGTTTTATAGCGGTAGATGTTACCTCGTAAGTACATGTATTTATGGATGAAGACTCCCCTATTCGAGATGTCTATGTAGGAGTATAATTGGCCGTCTCAAGTAATATGAAACACCTCTAATAGAGTCCGAGATGGTTAAATATGAAACCCATAGACCGAGGCCTGGGGCCAGTACTCAAGATTCTACATGTGTGTGAACTCCGCCATTATTCATACCTCATCTCCGTTCCCTTGTGGACGCCACTCAGATCGCACACGGCAGAACCGCACACAGGGAGCTCAAACTTTGGGTTTCCTGTGATACCGGCTCACTGAGCCTCTTAGGCGACGGCAAGTTTTTTGTTGATTGGAAAAAGGTATCAGGTTGGATTCCATTCAGTGCCCGATTAGATGAGCCTTTTGGCTCGCACAGGTCTCTCTGCAAAAAGAGTTTCCGTGGTGAAGGCAAACCTTGTTGCGGCTTCAATAAGCTGAATGGCTGTGGATACGTGTAGGTACAGTAACATTGTGACCATTTTGAGTGGACATCTCGCCGATAGCCACTACTACACTTACTACACTAACCAATGTTACGTCTTGAATTCTTCGCCTTCATTCAAAAAAATGTTCATCCCTCTCAGACTTCACTATCCATCCTTCAACTCGACCGGCATCATGGAGACTATTTGGAACTTGCCTCGACTTCAGGAGCCTCCACAGCAGAGATTTGACGACCTTAACGTGCTGCCAATGTGGGAGATTAACCTGGCCTGGAACGTGAACAAAAGTGGACTTGTTAGCTTGCCTGACGAGCTTCTGTTGGAAGTTATGCTCTCTATAGACAAGGCCGACTTGTACACGTTGCGTCAGGTGTCACACACCTTCTGGCGCATCTACCAAGGTCGAGACTTTCTCAAAGATCCTTCTCGAGGCGGCTTCCCACACGACGGTGCCACCATAACACGCGCAAAACGGGATGCTTTCTGCAGCAAATGTCTTCGGCTCAGAACAATGTTTTCGCACTGGGTGTCTCATTTTGGTGTGCCGTTGAATTGTCTTTGCTGCAATGCATCACACGGGCGACCCCAGTTCTCCTCAAAACAGCGTCAGACCTATATTAGAAATGGTCCTCAATGCATCATATCAGAGGCGTCAATCGCGATCTGTCGCCACAAAACAATATCTCTCATGGGAATCCGTCGAGGCCTATCTCAAGCTGGAAATGAGTGGGCGAAGAGGAACCCCTCTGGTAACCATTGGCTTCATAGCATCAACCTTGAATGCTGTTCCGTCTGCAAGGAGATGAGCAGTCGAATTACGGGAAAACGTCACAATTTCATGGTAAAGCCACCTTCGATTAGGTGTTTGGCAATGAGTTCAAATAAGATACACACGATTTGGAAACACAATCGCAACCCTAATTACCCTCGGCTGCACAATTGGTTGGAACTCGAGTGGATCATGCCTGTCATGATTTCAGCCTCAAAAAACCAAATTGTCACGGATACTTTGTTATCAAAGATGCTAGAAGCGTTTGAATTGAACTTCGGCAATGTGATTTGCCCTCACATCACAAAAAGAGATCTACTGCGGCCATTCGACCCGAGCATCTGCCACTGCATACCCGGATCCAGCCGCCCAAGGGGACATATCAGCACCGATGACCAAGAAATTCTCTATGGATGCTTGAGTCAAAACTTACGAGTCACGGCAGACCCGGAGAATGCAGGATACACCTTTGCGCCATCTGTTGGACCAAGTATAGCTGGCTGAGGCACCGAGAAGTCGTCTATCTGCAAAGATATTCTCCTTCTCTCGGTTTGACCGTTCCAAAACACAGAAATTCGCATTGGTATCAAATCGAAGCGGCTAATAATGGCATCAAGCTCGCGCATCCCCATTCATATGGCGCCAATAAGATGGTCGATGACAGGGCGGAAAATATTCTTTGGTGTCATGATAAGCAATGCAAACTTGGTAGGGACTGGAATTGTTACATGCGTGTACAATCTGAGGAGAAACAATACCGCTAAGAAATTTGGCCGATAATCGTCGCAGAAGTTTTTAAGTAGTTGCTTCCCATAATGGAGAACATGTTTCAAAGTACGCACCCGGAGTTCGAACTCACATAGAGTCGATGTTCACGCTACGATTCTGGTGTTTTGAGCTCAAGTGATGACGATTGTTGCATTAGCAATGTTTAACATGGCACTGATATCGATGTCTCGAAAGTAGTAGCTCAGCAATAGCTCTGTAAGCGGAGATGCTATTGTGTAATTTCCTTATGAGACATGCAAAATGCACTAATATTGAACGACTGGATTCATTGACCACATGCAAGAAAGTTTGAATGGCATTTGGGTGAGAATACGACACAGCGGATGTGTTCTTGTGCCTCCATATAGCAATAAGTCTTGTCCCAGCAGAAATTTGACAAATTAACTTAAATCCATCAAAGATAATTAGTGCCTCTCCGTCTTGCTCATCTCAATAGTGACGGTGAAAGCATCTGTCCGTACAATCTTCCCATCAGAGTCATGCTGCTCGAGGATGCTCTCTTGACTTCCCCTTCCAACGACGGTCGTTTTGCCAATGCTGTTGAAACTGTCCGCGTCGAATCCCTCCTGGGAAGCCTTCTTGACAGGAGTTCGGAAAAGTCCCTTGTGTGTTCCCAATCTGCCACTGAGTCTCGATTTGGAGTTTCCAGACAAGTATTTGCCGTTGCCTGAGGAGAAGATGCGCTTGCCGAATAGGAGTTCACCGAGGGGTTGCAGGACAGGGATGCATGCGGCTATGATGATGATACTGCCCTCCACACTATAGAGCCCAGGTTAGTTGTTGTGAGTCTTGAGGAAGGGGGTTCTTCGTCTTACACTGTCCAAATAACAAGCTCAACGGTGTCATCTGTGTCACAAAGTGTTAGTTGCTATTGTGAAATCGCTTGATCGAGATCCAGAACTTACATGTGTAATCCGAGCTTGTGAGGCTTGGGAGTTTAATACACTTGTAGATGACTACAATTCCCGAACTAAAAGAGTCTCAGTCAACTGTTGTCGGGGTACGACTCAAACATTGAAGCCTTACAGCGAACCAAAACCGAGAGCTACGCTGAGTACAATCTTCTTCCTTCGGTTCATTTGTAATTTCGACAAGACAACGGCGGGGTACACGGAGAGGTAGACATCGGCAAAGGCACAAAATGCTGAACTCGTTAGCCGATCCAAAGCTGTTTCTTGAGCGGTAACCTTAGCAACTTACCTCCTGAGTACGTCGCGAACGATACAAGGATCCACTTGCTCCAACATTCACCAGATACTGATGAATCCCATTGAGAGCGTGCTGGAGAACATTGGGCAAAGATAATTGTGATGAACCCAACCAAGTTTACCACACAAATGATGGACAGGGCCCAAAGAAACCTCTTGTGCCATCTACTTGGGTTCAGAATTCGGGTGAGCAACGCGACGACGGCGAGTTTCGGAATGCCGAATGAAAGAAGTCCGGGTGGGTAACCGGCAATGCTCCAAAGCATGGCACCTGACTTTTCGTCGACAGAAAGGGTATCGGCGTGGCGTCCATATCCGTACGAAACAGCAACTGCTACAGTTGCCACGTTCATCCAACCGCAAACCTAAAGTCACAACAGTCAGTTGAACGATTCTTCTCGATCTGACGGCTGATCATCTAGAACTCCACTTCCATAGCGGCATCTTGTCTAAGAAAGACTGGAAGAATGCAAGGAGAAACAACAGAGCGGATTGATATTATTGGTATAGTCGTATTTGGCATGGACAGAAGAGTACAGATAAAACTTGTAGTACTCACCACAGACGCAACACAACTTCCCTCTCGCCTAATTTTTCTTGGCATCTGCTGTTAGTGAATGAGTGAGCCTACCACCAAATTACTAACAGCCGAAAACTCTTCACCTCCCCTTGCCGGAGCCCGCATCCGCGATGGCCTCACAGCCGCCGTCGGGCACCGGACTGATGTCGGCCGACCAAGCCGACCCCGAACCAGGCTCCGGGACACCTCCGGAGCCGAACCCCACCTCAAGAGCTAAGCGACGCCGCGACGCCGAGGCACAGCCGACCCGGCCCAGCCTAACGGGAAGCCAGCTTGATGCCACCACCGACGCCCCTACCTCGGCCGAGGGGCCCGCAGCCTCTACCGCATCTGCTCCGAGCGGATCTGCCACAGGGTCCGTCTTGACAGCCCTTGCAGAAGAAGCTAGACAGTACGAGGCACGGAAAGACGTCTTTCTGACCATTGCACGGTCCGTCGACAGCGTTGTCGCCAGCTTTGACGGTTCTAGAAAGCAGATCGCGAAAGAAGCCACTGCCTATGTCATTCAAACCCTCAAGAGACTGATCAATCACGAGACAAGCCCAATAGCGGCCCGGAGTTGGGCGGCTGTCGTCGCACCGATGGCGGGCAACACCACTGCGGCGACCCGGAGCGGCCAGAGCTGCCAGAGCTCTGCCCGCCCGAAGGCCACACTCCCCGCCGAGGATCAGCCGCAGGCGCAGCCGAAGGAGGACCTCCGCATCTTTGCCCGCGTCCCGGAAGAAAGCTTAGCGGCCGCTCGGAAGATCGCACCGTTCGCCGTACGACAGATCGTCTGTAAGGCCGTTGGCCTGGGGCTAGCGGACCTTCCCCACGTCTACCATATCAGCACAGGTTACTCTCTGAAGCCGCGAAACAAGCAAATACAGGAAAGACTACTTACAAGTAAGGCAAAGCTGGCGGAATGCCTCGGCGCCCACCAAGTCGAGACGCCTATC